TTCATGCCCCTTGCCTTGGGCAGCAATGTTAACACACAGAACTCTGGATGGTGGGCTGCGGACCCTCTCCTCTGGGAGCTCAAGACGAGCTCTTCTTTCCTTTGAGTGAAGCTAGGTATCAACACGGTTAAGTAGCGCTTTGAATGTGAGCCCTGGCTCATCTGTCAAGAAAGGGCCACTCTCAGCAAAGCAAAAGCTACTTGGAAATACATGGTTCTACCCAGACACTAAAATGTCTTTTTTAAAAAATATAAATAGCCAAAAATAGGGCAAGAGTCAAGTTCAAATCACACGACCCCAGCCAGCACCACTTCATTATGGAACAAAAGGTATTGCCCTAGACCATAAAACATGTCTTATTTGTTTTGCAATTGCCCCCATTGTTCAGGGCTCTATCTTCCTTGAGAACCTTGCAAGAGAAAGGGTGACTTGAACGGCAGGAGCATGCAATTCCTCTGTCCTCTTACAAAGACTTTAAAGTTTGAATCTGATCAGCCAAGCTGGTAGGTATAAAGAGGTTGCTGCGGTTCAGTTGATATCTGTTTTGAACCTTTCTGTTTCCTGACTCATTTATCACCGTATAGCTGGAAGACTTCACTGTCCCATCCATCTCTACTTATCTCCATCTATGAGTGCTTAATAATTGATAGAAAACTCATGAATCACCTTCACATTCTGATTTCAAAATACCAGGACTACAGATGCTCATTCTCTTGTGTTTGAAACATGCTATTAACAGAGTAGACCTATGCTACTCAAGACAGGGGAAGGTCTGTGAGCCCAGAAAGAATGGGAACTAGGCCCAACTGTAAGCTAGCAAATTAAGTTAGCAACAGCAACCTTATCTCAAATCATGATTGACAGAAATCAGTCCTTCCCAGGCCATATGACTTTCACCATAGATAAGTTTATAAGATGACTCAATATTGCATTAAATTTCATTTCAATCTAATTGTTCTGCTGAGTAAAAAACTAAAACCTGAAGTATTTTCTCTCTAATTTTTTTCTTTTTCTTTTTGTGGTTTTTCAAGACTCTATATGTGATTTCTATACGGGTGGTAATAAGGTGTATAGTGACTGAGAAACAGAGCCCCAAACAGTGACTGGGGTCAAATGTGGTTAAAAGGTTTCTAAAGGAAACCCAGTGTGGTATGAGATTGGTCGTGCTCCCCATCTATTCATGCTGATTTAATTTCCACAACACAGTGGCCTGCTAACCCTATTTCCAGCTCAATTGGCCCCATGAAGACTGACTTTTTTCTTTTAAAGATCAATCTGGGCATCTCACAAAAGTTTCACACTAGTAATTTACTACATCAAGTCTCCATTTACCTGAACAATGGATATTGACTTGGCAGTTGTATTCACAAGATGGGAGGCTGAGTAAACAGGGAGCCCTGAGAGTATGACCTAGTCTCCCACAGTGTCAAACCTGGCTGGAATCAGGAGAGACCACCTGGTCAAAAGAGGTGCGTGTATGATTGGGTGACAGATGGACTGGAGTGGCATTTTGATCAAAGGACAATACAGCTTAGACTCAGAGAGTCCTAGAGTCCACTGGTGGAGTCATTGTACTGACTGGGTCACTGCTACTGCCTCTGAACATCAATCACGGGGATGGAAATGAATGGGTAATGTAGTCAAGCCTTATCTTTTATCTAAAATGCATCCCAGGGATAGGGGGCCATCTGCCCTACTGTATCGCCCATCCAGCCCAGCCCACACAAGTCTGGACTGTCTTCCTGGTGATCAAGTCTGCTCTGGACTGTTTTTGTATCTTTGCTTTGGACACGGATGTTGGGAAGGATGGAAAATGCACCTCACAGCATACCCCAGTGGTGAAATGGTGGCAGTTGCTAGGTTTCTATAGGAAAAAAAAAAAGGAGGAGCATCACTATAGGTGAGGTGTCTTGCCTCATTGGCCATGGGGCCATCAGGAGAATGGGCATGTGCACCCTTGCTATCCCCTCATAGAGATCTCTAGTTAGACTGGCCATGGTCTTGTGGGGCATTAAACAAATGGGAAGTTCTAGGTGTTTCCATGGGAATCAATTACTCCTGTCTCTGTGAGACTGTGGTCTCCTTTTCCAGTCTTGGTTCTCAGTCTTAAATCA